ATGAGGGTTCGGAATTTGTTTCCAAGCTGTCTGTTGTGTTCACTGTTATCTCGAATCTATCCACTATGCGTTTCATTGTTGTACTGTATTCTGCTGACCTGTGATTCAGTATATCTTTCTGCACCGTGTATATGACCGTACACTCCGGAGTGCTTTAACGGGAGGCCCAACGGTACTAGAAATGCATGTATAGCTAGAACTAGCCGACCGTATGTGTGTACGAATTATGTGTGGTACGAGCAACCAGATGTCTGTCTGCATGCATTGTGGGGCTCCACTGTCCATTTGTACCCACTGGAGATGACAGTTATGACCACCCGCTGATGGCCTTAGAAATGTTCCGTCCCGCCTCTCTTGGTCTCCTTTCCCCGGGCTTACACCGGATATAGGACTCGAATATTTGCTCCTTTGGGTTTAAACTTATCACAAAGGCGAATGGCAAGCAGACAGATAAAGGACCCATAGTCCTCATGGTGTGTAAAATCATATTATGAGGCAGTCTGGAGGTATATTCAAACACTCCAAAGGATTGTCTCCTACAGGCGACCCATGAGGTGGGAAGGGTTACAATGTGTAGGCCTCAAACTCCGATTACCCCACGGTTTAGTAACCAGTAGACGTGATTGCTGTTGGACTATCATATATATTTAGATCGGTCAAAAAGGGACGTCCTTCGAACGTCCAACGGTACTGTGTACAGGAGCTGTCTGCCCCAAACCACATGGATAGTCCTCAATACTACCATCGGGTTGAAATGTGGCCGAGCGGATTAAAGGGATGGAAGTCGGCCCTAAGATCCGCTCGATGGGCAATATGTCCCCACTTTTGGAAAAGCTTACGCCTGGACTGCTTTACTGCTTCAGTGCGAACGCCTTTGCTGGGTATTTCAACATGTTGTTTCCATCTGGGGGTTGTCCACCGCATATGCATCGTGTACGGGTTACTCTAGTACCGAAGGTCCCCAATCCAACATCACTGGACTAACTGTTTTTTTACGAATGGCACTTTCCACGTCACTGTCCCTACTGGAACCACAGCGGCAGCAATTTCGATCGAAAAGTCAACAGATAAAATGTTGCAGAGGCGAATTCAGGAACTTCTGAAAACATCGGCCTGACAAAATAACGCACTTAGGGGCCGTACCGCTACCTTGAGAATGAAATTGCCCGGTCGATAAAGCTTCGTCACTGTATGCCCATGGTGTATCGGTTACCATCCTGATTAGTACGGGTTCTGGCCACATTCTAATTTTAAAACGAAACTTGTACTTGATTGGAAGGCTACCAGGGTAGGACACAAAGTGCACATTACGTAATGTGTCTGGAGGTTGCCTCGAACTAATCGATAAGATGAACTGTCCCGTGACGTTCAATAGGGTTCAATTCAGAAATGCTTGCTACCTCACATACTACACAGACCTTGATCGCTCAGGCTCGGATAGGACTGATGGAATACAACTCTTGGAGCAGTCCCTCAATGCCGTTTATAACGAAGCAACTGTAGATGGCTGCGAAAATTTTACGGTAACACCACATTCTGCAGATTTTGCGGTCGCCACGGCTACAGTCTAATCGGAGACCAGTCGAGGCATACGTGGCGTTCAAAAACGATGCCACTCTCACTTCAATCCGTTTTGACGAATTTTGATGACAGGATTCAGCTTTGTACCCTCGGACTCCACCCTTCACTCCCTAGACCCGTGAAGACGCAGATCGTTCCACTCCTTTCCAAAAGGCAAAAGGTGAAAGATTCAGATTGGAGATGCAACACCGTCTGTTACTGCTTTCTCCCCTTTCGACTGAAAAGTGTATTTCGGCACCAGTGACTGGCTACCATCATGAGGACGAAGGGTACGAATTTTTTCCTTGTTCCTTCGTTTTTCGTACCGCAAAACATCGGAACACAAAGTGACTCTAGCTGTTAGGATGCGTCCGTACCGAACGACGCGTCGCAGGTATCAACATCGGTCACTACACGATCCGGGCAGAGGGCAGGTGAGCTTGCCAACCAGGGCATAGGACCAGGCGATCAGGAAAGCGGGTGTGCAAACGGTAAAGTGCCACTACAAGACTGGGTGGGCTCGAACCCTAACCTCATTCTTGCGGATGAACCGATTGAAGTAGTAGACAAATTTATTTACCTGGGCAGCTGTATCAGTCCCGGTGGTCTCGCGAAAGATGATTGGGAAGGCCAGAGCAGCTTTTGTGAACTTACATCATCCGTGGCGTAGGCGTGACATCAACTTCTCTGTCAAGGGTTAAGTTTACAATGCTACGGTGCACTTCATATTACTATATAGATCAGAAACCTAGCCGCTGTGCGCCGAGGACGTCAAAAGACTTTCATTGTTTAACCATTGATGTCTGCGAAGCATTATCCGAATCTGGTGGGAACACCGGATCAGCAATTCCGAAGTACGTCGAATGGTATTCGGGAAAAATAACTCACCCTCGATAGATGAACGGATCACGCTGCACAGGTTGCGCTGGCTTGGCCACGTGTTGCGTATGCCAGTCGACCGACTTCCCCGAAGGGCTCCTTTCGCACAACCACGTGAAGGGTGGAAGAGAGCCAGAGGCGGTCAAACAATGACTTGGCAGCGAAAAGTGAAAGCTATTACCAGCAAACTTAGCTGCGCTGGTCACTTCCGTCTTCCTGGATGGGGACCCCGAGACGGGCCACATCAATGGCTAGAGACATTATCAGACATGGCCCAGTCGCGCCCTCAATGGCGCTCATGCATCAAAGCTATTGCCTTCAATGCGTAGCTCCTTTTCCACCCCCGCTTGACAACCCACTGACAGTACTGGATTTATGCACCATTTTACCAGCTCGCGCATGCGAGCTGGTAACGGTGAACGAAACTGTGGCAACTACAACCAGTGTACGACGAGTACGCGGTTCTTACAGCTGACAATGATGATGATGATGATGATGAGTCGAGACCCCGGGATTGCTTTCGAGCCCCTAACCTTCCGGTCAGTAATTTTCCACCTCAGCCACTGAGCTGTTCATCTGTTCGGAAAAAACTTTCACCTGTAACAGTCTTTCGATGTCTAAGTGCCATGACACCAGAAGGAAGCACGAGAGCTGGGATACTGCCAGGTTGTCCAAGCCTAGACGGGGGAAGTTGAAATGCAGAGGTCGGCTTCGAACCACGGATCTTCCGATCCTTAAGTTAGCGCTCTAACCACTGAGGCGTCTCGCCCCACATTAAGCTCTCGCGAGCTCTGAGGTATCTCAGCTCTCGAGATTCTTTACTCAGAAGTGGTCCTCTGTGTAAATAAAAGAGAATTGGGATCAAAATAAAAACCGAAACCACACGGGTAATGACAAAACCTCAGTTGCGGTCGTGAGACTTCGTCCCTTTTGAAATATAATTTTACCTACTGCCGAAGCGCAACACTGCGTACTTCATGCACGAATCCGAAGTCACACCGAATTACGTTCGGTTTTCCTGCTGTCTGGTCATTCACTGTTTCATGGAGAATATATGCGATCGCTTCTGGACGTTGGGCATCTGGTTTGGCCAGGTTGATTCGTTATCCGCTATGTGAGAGCAGAACAAAGCCACCAAGTGATATTTCATACGTTTCAGAATAACCGTAAACGTGGTGACTTCTAAGCGTGAAACAGCTTCCAGGCACATCTTACTGTATTTTTGTGGGTGTCTTTTCTTTCATCCTCTCCGATCAGCCAGTGTGTTAGCAAACCCGTTTTTTCTAATTGCAAGCATTGCACTGTGCTCGAGATAACTCAGTGGTTAGGGCGCGAACCTGCTGCCCCGAGGTCCATGGTTCTAACCCAACCCCCGCTTTGGTAACCTGGCAGTGTCTCAGCCGGAGTCCTTCCATCCGGTGGCATAGCACCTAGGTACCGAAATGGTGTTACGGCTGAACGATTATTATTTTATTTATTTACTGAAGAGACATACAGCTTCCGTCTTTTCTACTGCTTGGCAATAATCCCATTTCAGCCTTGTCCAGAGAGTCAGTGTGTTGTCGCCAGTAAGTCGCTGTCTTCACCATCCATCCGTGTTTCTCTTTACATACACGGTCACTTCGAACTTCGGCTCACACTTCATACCGAGACGAATAAAGCGAGGTCGTGTAAAAAACGAGTGTCATTTTATGCATACAACCCACTCAGTTGTCACATGGCCTAATTGATTGCACCTTATTTAAAAAAAACTGAACATCCTCATGCGATTGCCAACGAATGCTGCATAGTTCCACAGGTTCTGTAATAAACCCCACCTTCTATTAGACGCGAGGCGCACTTACGAGAAAACCGCATACTACTCGCATACCTCATTGGTAGTACCCGCCGTTACACTGGTATTCAACAGCAGGGATGCAAAACCACCCTACTGTATGTATTTCGATCAGCAAGGTTTGCTCTCCGCTTCAGGATGGCTCATCTACGTCAATGTCTTGGGTGTTGCTATTACTTCGCAGAGAAGCCCTTGAATTCCTATATGGCACTATCCTAGAGGTTTCTTTTTCGAATATCCCAGTTTTTTGGCCTATCATGTAAAATGCTTTCGGGCTATAAATAAACTTTCAAACAGAAATTCGCATGCTACCGGTAGCTTGTTTCATCCCTCTCAATACAGCTCCAGAGGACGCCGAAGTTGTTGGAATGCCGCATCTTTTGATGGAACGCCGTCTGGGAATCCTGTGATTTCAACTCGTTCACCGTAACCGGATACTTTCTTGGTTTCGGATGTTTCTGCTTAGCTGGATTTATCCACTCACTGAAGATTGTTGTTGTCTAACATGAATTCCATTCGCATAATTGGTATGTCTTTTCCTTCTTGTTCCCCAGCCCCTACTGTCATATTATCCGGGCGAAGTCAAATTCACAAGCCTACCTGGAAACAGCTGTTCGTGCATCAATGTTCAAATCATCTTTGATATTCAAATAGTTGGGCCTTCAGGCGACTCGTTTTAATCTGATCTGTTCACTATGTGTGGTATTCTACTGGTGAACGGACGACAGGGCAGGGAGTTGATGCTTACTGCAGATTGGCGTCGCGATAGTGTAGTCCTTGTTCAGGATCCCGATTCTGGGAGTCGGTACACATCGGAATATGTCGGAACGGCCGAATCATATTTATCGGTGGCTCGCAACCCTGGTTTTCCCGTTGTGGAATCCTCAACCAGAGAATGATGACTTCCAAGTGCTCTCAGTTGCCTTTAGACCGTCTCCACTCGGGACGTGATTGAATACTGATCTATTGGTTCCGTTTGCTGTAACCGGGTGAATGTGACCCATCTCCAGCGTATTTAGGTGGGTACACAGTCCGCGGATGCTTACTACGAACAAAGGTTGCCTGCAGTGTGAAAAGGTTTAGAAATTTTAATCGAGGTTTCTTCTTGTAGGTGAAGTCATGGGTTAAAAGGCACTGTACAGCCGTTTTGTCCTCATTTGGAATCATCTACCATGCACATCTTATGAATCGCCAGGGTAATGTAAACCCACAGTTGAATACCAAACCGTTCGGCCACGAGCGCGGGTAAATTCACACCAGAATCGGAAAGCATGAGAGAAAAGTAAACAGGCCGCCGAGCAACGCAAATGAATATCGAGCGTTACTGAAGACTCAGCAATAGCGTAACATGCAATGTACATGAGACACAAACTGGATTTAGAAAATCTGAAAGTTTTTGGGCGGGGACTACGGTCCACGCCGCAGAGACTGATGGCCGAGGCGATGGAAACCGCCAAGAATGGAAAACGTAACAAGCGTGTGGAGAACGGTTTTATATCAGTCGAGCTGACATGTGTGCGGTTATCAGAAATAGGAATCATCTACAGAAGCTGATGAAATTGCGAGGACCAAACCGATCAAAATATTCTACTTAGTCTCACCCTTCACCCAGCTAAATTGTCATAACATTAACAGACCCGTACAGATTAGAAAACCCATGACAGGCGCCCATTGTGAATCGTCAGTTGAGGCACCTTGAACCGGAAGATCAAGGAACCAAACCTGACCACGAAATGAAATGAAATCGTTTAGCTGTAACACCCTTTCGGTGTCTAGCTACCATGCCACCCGAAAGGAGCACGACGGGTAACGTCAAGTCGCTCAGGCATGGACAAGAGAAGTTGGGTTCGAACCACGAACCTTCCAGTGGGATCGTGCGCAAACCACAGCCATTTCGCCCCCTTCACCAATTTAACCGTAAGATTTGGGTACTCACACTAACGAACTCTCAACGCTGATCTAGTGTGCTAATCGGAGGATATCTTGCTGGCTGATCCTCAATCTGCCTTAAAACCTGGTCAACTTAGCCTGACGAAGCTTTCATGCTGTGAGATCACAGCGTTTTCTACTTACAAACCGACTGTTCAACAAGCCCTCCTGAGAATAGTGCACCTTCCTGACTCCAGCAACTAGTCAACACGTGATGTGAATTCCATGTTTGAAAGATGAGTGCGCTAAACCCTGACTACCTGCAAGTTAGTTACATTTCTACTCAGTCACTTGTGGCCGGACGGCTTAGATCCGTTTGGGGGTTCAAATCACCAGTATAATTTATGGCTTGCGCGCTATTGGTAATGCCCAATAAGGGTTGAATAAGTGTAGCGTTTCTCGACCTTCCGGCGTAAATTAACTTCCAGATAGCTGCTGTTCTGTTTGCCACCTTTATCACCTACGAGCAAACGCATCCAAACTACCTATATTTGGACACATTGACATAAATTGACTGGACCTACAGGACAAAATCACAAGTGAAGCAAAAAGTTCCCCAACACCTGTCCACAATAGCTAGATCCCTTATGGTTCTAGCTATTTGCGTTTGAACCGTTTTTCTCCATTGGGAGCCAACGCAACATTGGGGACATTTGTCAAACGCTGCACCAGCCTCCCCTATTTAGCAGCTAATTTCGATTTTGGCAGTCATGCGGGAAGTTGCGTGGGTGGGTGGATTCGATATTTCCCTTTCGGAAACGCTCGGTATATGTTCGAGAACACAAGACCCTGATCACTGTAGGTGGGGTGATGCAAAGGGGAAGTCAGTTTATCTAATATACCTGCTTGTCCATCCTCATCCAAGCTTTAGGAAGTGTGTTGAAGAAGCACTAGTGCATGCGATGTTGGAGAAATTTGTGGGAAGCCTAGCTGCTTGTGTTCAGGATTGATAGGTGCAAAACTTTTCTGAACAGAGATTCAATGGCATTCAGCACATTGTTTTCGTTGGTATCAGAAACTATCACGCCGCAAAATCCATTTGACCACTTCCTCGGTTTCCCGTCTGTCTGTGGCTTAAATTTAGTGATATGGTTGGACAATATTTCTCTGTGCGCCGTTTAGCATCAGCGCCACATGCAAAAACACTATCGTCACAATACTAGTGCTTTACAGACGTGCGATCGCAAAAGTTCTGAGGCGTATCCATTTCTTTCGTTTCCAGTTTGCGTTGCTGGCCGAATTTTCTCATATTTACTTTGCCTTTCAGCCACTTGAGAATTCGATATACTTTCATGGTGCTATTTTTATTAGTGTTAATTAACGGCTTTTCTTGCGTCACTGATTGTGTGCGAGTGAACTCTATTCGCAATTTCCCATTGCGATGCTGTATTGATAATGCAATGTGGGTCTCTGTTCTAGATCCAGTGTTGATTTCCATTGCGAATCCAGGCGGAGATTCGACCCCATCAAACTTGAAGATATAAAAAGCACCAGTTCACTTTCATTTTACGTCCTCGAATAGTGGGAGGCAGAAGCGTGTTCCACGTCAACTTTGCCTTTCCAGGCAACGCAGGAGTAGGTCCAAGGGTGAATTTCCTCGGATCGAGTTTGTAGCAGTTGCAGCTGAAACTACTCCAGCATTAGGTCAAATCATATGCACATCTAGTCGACATCCGATTTCCAAGCAATATCGATCATGTGTGCTAGTCATTCTCCTATCAATTGGGTAATATGATGTCGAGTCGGACGTGCACTGTCCTTGGTTTGGAAGTCTTTCAGTCGCGACGTCATGTTGAAAAAGCATCTGAACTCGGGAAGCACTTAGTTCATTCCTTCATCTCCTTACAATGCTCCTAGTGATGATCTAGTCACTTTGTCGGCACCGATAACGCAGGAGTAATGGGCATGTCCGTAAGCTTATATGGCTGTTTGTGTGGAGCTAAAACGGATCTTGAACTACCTTTCAAATATACCATCCCCGAACCTAGTTATCGAGCTGCCAGGTGGCTCACCGCGCTCAACTATGGGGTGCGTTAGACGCAGACAATAATTTAAAGGCTCAGGTTGGCTCAGCAGAGACTAAGACCTCGAGGTAGCTTAGCGGTTGAGGCGCGAACTTGGTTACCAGAATGTCCGTGGTTCGAACCCAATCTCAATCTCGGCTGCTTCTATCCGGGCTTGGGTGAGCTGGTAGTACTTCAGCCCTCGTGCTTTCTTTGAAGGCTATGTATTGATAGGATGTTGTGACTGAACGATTATGATCATTATTATAAACGGGTGCAGATTATTCTACTGCGGCCGCGCCTTTTTCACCGAGGGCGCATTATTCCAGGATTCAAGGTGCACTACAACGCCCAAGTCCGCTTACATGGGGTTCTTCAATAGATGTCCGCTGATATGCTATGGTACACAATAAGTAAAACCGATTGGCAGGTAAGCATTGATTTCGGTCCAGTGGACTACTGCCGTGATGAAGCGGGAGCGGTTGTTTTCTGCTTGATATCACTTGAATTAATCAGGCAGTCCATTTTCAACACTCTCAAGAGGTTACTGGTGACCCCGAACCTTCCAGGTCTCAGGATAGAACCTCGTCATTAACACTGGCAAACAGTCACCTCCGTTCCCTTTCACATGCACCACATGATTAGTATCGGTTCGACGTAGTGTTTGGCCGACAGTATAGACTTACCGAAGTTGATGGAGGAGCGGTATCTTGTCAAATCTCCTGCTGACATCAATAGAGAGGAGCTTCCCAACGGGTGTGGCATTCGGTATTTTCACCCTTCCTCTTCGCATTTGCCTGCATTTGTTTCTACCAACACATTAGGCAAACAGCATACGCCATTCGGCTGTTTCATTAGCTGCAAGTTTGAGGACTATGATCATCGAACGCGCAATCTACATGGTATTCCTACTCCCCTGTCTAGCGACGTGACGACAACGATATGGACGGGTGTGTGCCAAGTGCGTGCCTTATCACTGATTAGACGCGTATAAACCAGCAGCAGTATCTAGTCAGCTATTGTTTCATCGGGGTAGCCACCATTGATGATCGATGGGTTCGTCGCGTTTTACTGTGAATGTGGTCCGCTGCAAATATCACCTGTTGATGTGCACACTATGCAAGTAGTGTGAAAGTAGACACCTATTCATTGGGTCTACGTAGAGCGAATTTAGCTTTTGCGGTGCTGCCGTTCGGTCCCATGATTCACCACTGACTGGACAATCACGGAGGTTGGAACCACCGCTTATCAGCAGTCAAACTCAATCCTTATGATCTTAAGGTAACGATATTTATGGATGAGCTGTAGAAGCATATGAGTGAGTGACTCCGCCTAGGTGGCTGGTTTCTGCACGGGACCATCTACACTGAGAGCAGACCTCAAGTATACCTATGGGAAGCTGGGGCGCACATTCAGTGAATCAGAGCATTGAAAAAGTTCCGCACGCTTAACCGAATAAAAATACAGGCGTAACCGAAGACGTTGCTGATTTCATTGTTGGGTTTACTTAGGTTTACTTATCAGCAGATATCCTCAAAGAACATTAAACACTGTTGGGTTTTCACTAGCTTCCTGGGCATCGAATTTTTGATGCTAATGTGTTTCTATTCCCCTAAATTCAGCTCTGTCCCATCTTCTGACCAGTTGGTTGTATAACAACCGATTCCTTTGCTGACTTATCCATTGTTATACGTACAGGTCACTTAAGCGAGTGCTAAGAAATTTCACCTACAAATGCGGAACCTGCAAATGATGTCGCGCGTTTGCATATCTCCATTCAGAAATCCCTTGGGAATAAAATTTTCCACTTATCTCGGGTATTAAATTCTCCCTATCCAGAGTTTTGCAGGCCGCACTCAAAATCCCATCAACTAGAACCGCCTGTTTGTATTCCGTACACGCGCAATAGTAATAGGATACAAAAATGATTCCCAAACATTTTGGTCTTATGACTCCGTTCTTTGGTA